CTCTCGCTGTCGATCGCTATATGGGTCAAGTGATCTACTACACGACCGGTTGCAAGCGCGGCAAGGCCTACGCAGTTGTCCAGACCGGTGCGAGGACTTCTTTCGTTGGCAAAACCGCCTCCATGGTTTTGGCAGCTAAGGGTGCCGGGCACTTTGAAATTGTGATGGACCAGATTGGTACATCCCTTTTGGTTCTTGTCATGGCATGGATTCTGGCTGCTTGGATTGGCGGCTTCTTCCGCCATATTCCCATTGCTTCGCCTGCCCAGCAGACGCTTCTCCACTATACACTGTCGTTGCTGATTATCGGTGTCCCTGTCGGTCTTCCCGTCGTGACCACCACCACTATGGCTGTTGGAGCAGCTTATCTGGCAAAGAAGAAAGCTATTGTCCAAAAACTGACTGCGATTGAATCACTTGCTGTAGGTTGAATTCTTTTCTCCGGATGATGGATTGAATAGAGTGCTAAAAACCATGATTACAGGGTGTCGATATCCTCTGTTCTGATAAAACGGGAACATTGACGGCCAACAAGTTGAGCATCCGAGAGCCGTTTGTGGCAGAGGGTGTGGACGTTGACTGGATGTTTGCCGTGGCAGCCTTGGCATCATCTCATAATATCGAATCGCTTGATCCCATCGATAAGGTTACCATCCTGACGCTCAGGCAGTATCCTAGAGCAAGAGAGATTCTTCGACGGGGTTGGAAGACCGAAAAATATATCCCATTCGACCCCGTTTCGAAGCGAATCGTGACAGTGGCCACCTGTGATGGAATCAGGTATACCTGTACCAAGGGTGCCCCCAAGGCAGTGCTTTCCCTTACCAACTGTCCTAAAGAAGTTGCCGATATCTACAAGAACAAGGCGCAGGAATTTGCCCACAGAGGGTTCCGATCCTTGGGTGTTGCGGTCCAGAAAGAGGGAGAGGATTGGACGCTTCTTGGTATGCTTCCCATGTTCGATCCGCCCCGGGAAGATACCGCGCATACGATCAATGAAGCCCAGAATCTTGGAATCAGCGTCAAGATGCTTACAGGCGACGCATTGGCTATTGCCAAGGAGACATGCAAAATGCTCGCACTGGGAACCAAAGTGTATAATTCTGATAAGCTCATCCATGGTGGCCTGAGTGGCGTCATGGCAAGTGACCTGGTTGAAAAAGCCGACGGTTTCGCGGAAGTGTTCCCAGAGCATAAGTATCAGGTGGTTCAAATGCTCCAGGAGCGAGGACACCTAACGGCCATGACCGGCGATGGAGTGAACGATGCGCCATCGTTGAAGAAAGCTGATTGCGGTATTGCGGTAGAAGGCGCGACCGAGGCAGCGCAATCTGCATCGGACATCGTGTTCTTGGAGCCCGGATTGTCTACCATTATAGACTCGATCAAGGTGGCCAGGCAAATTTTTCACCGCATGAAGTCCTACATCCAGTATCGTATCGCGCTTTGCTTGCACCTGGAGATCTACCTCGTCACGTCCATGATCATCCTCAACGAAAGCATCCGCGTTGAGTTGATTGTCTTCCTTGCACTTTTCGCAGATTTGGCTACTGTCGCAGTGGCCTATGATAATGCCTCCTTTGAGCTGCGTCCTGTGGAGTGGCAACTCCCGAAGATCTGGTTCATCTCCGTGCTTCTAGGCCTGCTGTTGGCGCTGGGTACCTGGGTCGTGCGCGGTAGCATGTTCCTTCCATCCGGCGGTATCATCCAGAACTGGGGCTCTATCCAGGAAGTCCTGTTCCTGGAAGTCGCCCTCACGGAGAACTGGCTCATTTTCGTTACTCGCGGCGTAGAGACTTGGCCGTCAATCCACCTGGTCACAGCGATTTTGGGCGTGGATGTCCTGGCAACCATTTTCTGCCTGTTCGGTTGGTTCACGAACGAGACAATGCCGACCAACCCGGCGACCTCGTTCGTTGAAACCCGCAACGGCTGGACGGATATCGTCACCGTCGTCCGTGTCTGGGGCTACTCGCTCGGTGTGGAGATCGTCATTGCGCTCGTGTACTACATGCTCAACAAGTTCAAGTGGCTCGAAAACCTCGGCCGAGCCAAGCGAGACAAGGGCGATATCAAAATCCAGAATCTGCTCGGTCACCTGGCTCGGTTGACTGTCGAGTACGATCAGCCCGGTCAGCCCAAGGGTCGCTTCTTCCTTACATCCAGCAAGGAAGAAGAGGAGGCCGAGTAGAAACGGTTGCCCTAGAGGCTGGCTAGGTTTCAAGACGATGTTTCATATCTGCTAAGGTGGACGGTTCAATATCTCGCCTGTGGTCGTGTCATAAGCGAGGATGTGTCCTGGTCTGGGGAGTTTGAAAAAATCTAATGCTAATATGATGATTTGAGGGCGAGGAAGTGTGCGATTGTGCAATAATTAGTAATTCTTGAATTGTTGGAAGAGGATTAATCCCATATACCTGCGTTGCACACTTTAATTTCAAAAATTTGAATAATACTTCGGATTACTGTCGTCTCTAACCCTATAAACTAATGATATGTACATTCATGATGGTGAACGCCGACACCCTGGTTAGACACGACGGACGCGTTCCCATAGTTTCTCCAGATCGCGTCCCATGCGTCTCTCTGTTTCCTTCTCCATGGCCCGTCTGGAGGGCAGAGTCCGCTTGGACACGGCAGCCTGGGATTCCTCGCGGGCCATTTCGACTATTGATGAAGATGATCAGCGATCCGCCCAAGTTCAAACATCTGTAGGGGAGGGGGAAAAAAAATATAAAAAAAAAAAAAAAGAGGTACATACCATGAACAAAGACAGCTGCTCTCTTGCCGCTGAACATGGCATGCGGCACGTTGGTGCTCCCATCGCTATTGGCGTCGCCAACAGCGAAAACACCGGCCATGCTCGTCCGCATACCATTGACATTGGTGTCGATCTTGTTACCCTGCATCTTCAGACCCAGATCCTCGGGAATGGACGAGCGCTGCTCCGAGGGGAAATTGGTAATGAAGGCATTGCGAATGACGGAGGAGCCGTCGGCGAGGTTGACCCTGAAGATGTCGAACTGGCGACCCTGGTCATCGTGGGCGTCCTCGCCGTTCTGCAAACGCTCGATGGACTCGATGGTCTCGTTGTTCAGCACGACGTTGTACGCCTCAAGCTGCTTCTTCCAATTGGGGTACTTCTCGGCCAGCGCGGCCTCGGCCTCGGGCGTCTGGGTGCCGTTCACGAACGCGATGATGTCGGTGTTGAGCGTGTACACTTCAAGCACGCTGCCCACGACGTCGATGAGGGAGCCCAGGATCCCGAACGGCTGGTCGCGGTGCTCCCAGCCATCGCACCAGGGGCACCAGTACACGCCTTTGCCCCAGGCTTCCTCCAGCCCGGGCGTCTCCGGCAGAATGTCCTTCATGCCGGTGCCGAGGATGAGCTTGCGGGCTGTGTAGTCTTTGCCGGCCACCGAGGCGCTGAAGTAGGTGGTGTTTCTCTCCTCGTCGGTGACGACGAGCACCGAGTCGACCGTTTCGGTCACCCAGGTGGTCTGGTTATACTTTGAGATTTGGCTGCGGGCAAGTGTGCGGAAGTCGCTGGGGACGGCTCCTGACAAATGCTGGGATTAGTCTGCACAACTTGGATATTGAACATTGAGGGGAAGGGAGCCGATTTACCGTCATTGCCAATGACATCGTGCATGTTCCTTGTGGCAGCATTGCGATACTCGCCTGAGTCGAACAGGACGTTCTTGCGGCGCACCCGTGACAAACCACTGGCGGCGCTCAGCCCAGAGGGGCCTCCACCGATGATCATCACCTCATAGTCAGTCTGGGGGACTGAAGCCGCCAGAGCGACGGTGAGGGAGGAGAAGAGGGTGTACAGAAGAGACTTGGGAGCCATCCTGACGACGCGGTAGAGAAGCGATGGAGGGAAGAGGGCGAGAACAGCGACCTGGGAAGACTGTATCCATCGGGGCTCAAGGATTGTTTAAATAGGCAAGCTGAAGGCACGATGCAAGATCTGTGGGTAGTCGGGATCGCAATCGACGTCGTGCATCCGTCCTTTTTTTTTTTTTTTTTACCTTTCAAGGATTCAGCCAAGGAAGAACCTCAGCTGCAGTGGCTGGCTGGGGAATAGATCGACATCTGCATGGCCAGGATGCGAACTTGGAATTACATGACATAGCATATGTAGTCTGCACGAGCGGGTCTGTCATATTGCTTTTTCTTTCCGATATCCACTTTGGTCGACTTGAGGAGGTTATCCACAGGTCTGCTGGCCTTCTGAGCACAGGTGCAACCAATGTCAGACAGTGTACGGAGTAGACACAAGCAAAACTTGTGGACAAAAAGATTGACAGTAATCCTCTAACAATATTCATGGCTTGGATGACAGACAGATACCACTCCAGAGGGAACAGCTGCCTCTCATTGAACCGAGCAGAGAAGGCATGCAATGCATGTCTGTGACACCTCTACAGTTTGCATACGAAGTACATGGTAGTAACTCCACAGCAGAGTAGTATCGACTATTGAGGGATGATCAGCTTCAATGAAGCAGAAAATGCATTTGACAGGGGTTGGTCCCGCAGCTCCGTAAACTCGTGAGGCAATATCTGCAGGAAGATCGGCAGAGCTGAAAAATCAATAGTTCATGCACATCTTCCAGTAGTCAGTCTAGTTTTCAGGTTAATCTGAGCTGTGATTACAAAAGTACTTATTTATTTATGCCTTTTCATTTGGCTTTGTGAGTACAGTAGATTGATTGTAGATAGTCTGTAGAGAGACAACAAGCACAGTATGTCTTCTAGAACGATGAACTAGTCACAAGGCCCAATCCAGTCAACTGCACAGTCAAGGTGCTGCGCCTATTGAGACTATCAATTAATTTATATGCACCCCATTCAACAGTACATCAATCACTTCAAGATAAACCTGGCAAAAATAGACATATACAAACAGTCAAACCCTTCCATATGCAGGCCTTCGACTAAACATGTGCAGGTAAAAAATGCCAGACACCGAGACTAAGCAAGTACTGCAGCCCTTCAGAACCAGCCGTAAGGTCGGTAGCTGTACGAACGGCGAATGCGGGACGCAGTCTTGCCCAGCGCTTGGGCGACGCCGTCGAGGAAGCCCTTATTGCCGTAGGCCTGGGTGACGTCCCACATCATCACGCCGCCAAAACTGCTAAAAGTCTTGCTGTATTCGATGATCGACTTCAGAGTCTCCACGGGCACGTAGCCTGAGCCTGCTGCCCCAGTGTTCGCGGGCACACCCAGGAATACCTGGGCCTTCTTGTTCTGAGAGACCGTCTTGGCCCAGTTGTCCCAGGCGTCAAAATCGAAGCTGCTCTGCTTGCTTGCTCCGGCCTCAAACGAATTCAATCCACACCAGTTGTTGTAGAACTGGACGAACACAGCGTCAATGGACACCGGTCCATTGAGTATATCCTTATCGGCGGCGTCGGGGTACGGGCATTGAGGTGCAGCCGTCAAGAAATATTGTTTGCTATGATCGGCATCCATCAATTCGCGAAGCCTGTTCGCGAACGGAGCAACATTACTGACGGTGGCCTCGAAATCAAAGTCAAACCCGTCTACCGTCGCATTCCCGAACGGCCGACGGGCCGTCGCGTTGAGGGAGGGAGGTCCAAAGGTCTGCCAGACCAACTCGGCACCAGCCTTCGCAGCGGATTCTGAACTGAAGCCTCCTTCACTGTATGTGGCCCCGCCAATAGAAAGCAGAATGGTCTTTCCTTTCTTCTGACACGTCGTAATATCCTCCCTGAGCGGGCTGTTAGAGTTCCAGATTGTAAGTAAAGCACAACAGCGCAGAGCTCACCCAATCTGAGGGCATTTGCGAAGGTTGGTATCGTTGAAAACTGTACAATTGTCGTTCGCATTGGAAAAGTCGATTTCAGGAACGCCACCCTGGCCGTTGATTCTCATGAGAAACGCGAGTTCAAACACCTGAGCCTCGTGAGCCAAAGCACCATCTGAGTATGATATCATCCCATACATCAATCTTAGGGTCTAGTGAGGTTTCCATCAACATATTAGCCTGGAAGTATTTAGACATGATTGACTCACCATCACAGTAGTAGGAAAGACGCTGCTGCGCCAAATCTCCGGTTCCCCGGAAAGAATTCTGACCTGTTGACCGGCAACACGTTTACCAGATCAGTCAAAGATTCCCAACATAACACGTAAGGCTGAGACATACCCCAGTATACTGCGACGTTGGAGGAAGACGAGAGATCGAGTTTGGCATACACTCCTTCCAGAGAAGTTGCCGCTGCCGTCAAGGCAAGAAGCTGTGCAAGAAAAGACATGGGGAAAAAGACAGGCGGATTGACGTATTCCCAGTCAAAGAATGAAATGACTTGCCTGCGAAGTCAAAAAAGCGTAGGCAGTATTCAAAAGATAGGACGGGGCCGAAGGTAAGCCCCCGAGGTCCAAGAGCACACTGGATGAGCTGATAGAATGGATATCAGTTCTCAGTTTAAGCGATTGTTCGGATCAAGAATGACAGACCTACTTATAGCTCATTATTGCCATTGTGAGAGTCCGTTGACCGAGGTCGTTCCCCCTTCGACTGACCAGACATTCCTTCCTCGTGGTGCCTTCGATCTTTGAAAGTGTCATGCTGTCTGCTCGCCAAAGTAGAATGCCAAATTCGATCAATAAACCTGATTTTCAGGTATCTAGTGCTTTCGATTGCTGCAGAAATGGGGCATGGCATTCCAGAGGGTTGTCGGGGGACTCATGCTGTCTAAGGAATGCGGCACTTTCTGTTTCGGGACCTAAGCCTGCAATAGTAGTGACAACTGACGACGTACGCTGACGACGCTCGTAGCTGCGGACAAGCTCAGAGAGAAATTTGATGGTGTGGACTAAAGTCAGTGCGTACTTCGTCAGTGAAGTCAAAGAACGTGGTGTTGCGTCAGGAAAATATGGCCATGTGCTGTGCTAGCTGGGCTCGAGGATAACCATAGAATCAGATCTAGGGCGGCAAGGGGGAGATGCATTGAATCGCTATCATGTTCCCTGCGATAATTTCTCGCAGGATATTAGTACTGGCCATCAAGCCACTTTCGTCATTTTCACCGTTTCACATTTCACGAGCTGTACTAATGCTCAACCAGGCGCTACATGCGGTGAGTGTCTCCGGTGTGATGACCTTTTCGTTAGGTCAAGAAATTCAAGGTGCAAGAGAATGAATGCATGAATGCAACAGCTGTAGTGGTGACGAACCACGAAATGAAACGAAATGAGAAGCGACTTTTGTAGTGTCGAAGAAAGATGCGGTTTGTGCCCCGATATAAATTGCACTACTGAGGATTAAACGACATATCATGCTTGTAACCCACATGGCCCTGGGAGATCACCGAGGAATGCCAATCACCCTCTCGGCGGCTTCATCGTTCGACATCCCGGGGTCAATGACCCCAGCGACCTTGAGGACGTCCACAACCCCGTCCACAACCTTTCGGTCCACGCCCCTTGTACTGCTGGTAAATCTCACATCCTTCAGCCACTCCTTTGCATCTTCCTCAACGTACGTGCATCCCAATTCTCCCGTACCCAGAAGCCTCACGACATTATCGTGGTCGGCTTGGAAATCCTTGATACCTTGGTCCAGCACATGGAACAGTTGCAGGAGTCTCTCGTCATGTTCGGGGTCAGGGAAGGCTGAGGTGGATGCGGCAATAAGCCAGGATGGCCATGGGGTGAAGATCTCACCGATCTTCTTCAGTGGCGGGTGAGGCTTGTCCGAGTCCGCGTGGAAGTACGGTTTCGTGGTAAAATGTTCCCACATGAAGAACTCAGCCGAGGGCGTGGACCGATCGGGGTGCGAGGCATCGTACCCCGTGACCCCATTTCGCAAAGCCTGGAAGGGACCGAGGACAGCCGGTGTCAATGAGTCGGGCTTCCAGCCTTGCTTCTGCGCCAGCACAAAGGACATGATATGGGAGCCACTGTGAGTCAAGTCAGTCATCTCTCGTGAGGAATCACGTCCAAGGCATCCCAACTGACCTTCCGAGGCGACTGACACCAACTCTCTTATCCTTCAGATCGGCCACAGTGTGAAGCTCCTCTCTTTCCCGTCCGGTGACAATCGCCCACCGCAGCGGTGTATCAACCCAATGGCCAACCACCTTGTAACCCCCCGAGGCAGCATCCTTCTGAGCCTGCTGCTTACCAGCCAATCCAGCAATCCACCCCTCGGTCAGCCCAATTGCGACATCGATTTCCTTCTCCCGAAGAGACGTGATCATGTGCCCCGTTCCTGAAGGGAACGGAATCAACGTGATCTTGAATGGAAGAGAGGAGGCGGCTGGCGAGCGAAGAGCCAGGTGGAGAGGAGCGAGGTAGTGCTCTACATGATGTCAGAGAAAAGGTATCGCGACAAAATAAGCGATGACAGTCAAATGAGGGCTTATGTGCTCTCGGTTGAGGATATGTATGTAACGGAATAATCGGCACCGCGGTTTGCGACGTTATGTCAAATGACGAGCACGGCAGATAATGGGAAAACTGAAGCCGATGATGGGGAAGGATTGCTTACCTGGCACGTAGCCAATTCGGATTGAGGCCATGATTGTAGTCGGTATGGTCTATAGCCAGGAATAGGCGAGCGATAGTGATGTTACTTTTTATTTGACCTCTCACTCTTGACGAGTCCAGACAACTAACTTGAAGCTTGTTTCTTAAGCAGCGGGGTAACCGCGGGGAGCCGATTGTATCACGTAACAATGGAGTAAAGCCAGTCGTCCAAGTGAAGCAGCTATTAATTGCAAGGAAAGAACAATTCGATTATTAATATTAGGATAATAATGAATTTGCCTATATCGTTCTAAATATATCTATATGGAGCCGACCTCGTGCGCAAGGTCTGTATTAAGTATATCTACAATGCATCATGCTCTCGTGGGGCATTATCAAAAAGCTGTCATCATAACTTAGGTCATCCGTATGTCTTTTTCCTCCGCTGGCCAGCTGGCGGTGTTATGCCTAGGGCCGCCCGCAGCCCTGAGTGTATGCCGCGAATACATCCAGAATTGTACCCCGAGGTAGAGATCACAGACACACTGGAACATACCGCACAGCCGAAACGCCCAGGGAATCACTTCTTTGCTGCAGAAGAAGTAACTCATTTTCATCACATCACCAAGAATCCAAGCCGCCAGCACAGAAACCCGGAATCCTTTGCACGAACGGGTCCGGTGATTGGCAATGATCTGAGGGAGAGGCAGGATAGCTTCTACAGCCAGACCAGCATAGCCCAGTAGGTTCACGTACAAGTCCGACCGAGCGATGGGCGGCAGAAGGATCTGGACGAATGATAGCGCCCCGACAAAATAGGCCAAAAACATCCAGTACCTATGTAGACACAAATTTCATTAGCATCGACCCTGCAGACCACGTTTAGAAAGCGATCGGGACCCAAGACATACGGCTTTGCGGACTTCCACTGCCAGAATTCGTATGGTCTGACAACCCCCTTCTCATCCAAATTGCTAAACGGAACATGCTCCACGCTATTCTTGACTCCCGGCGACGGTCGGTTATCCAGTGCAACTTTGAGCAAGACGATCTGGACCCCAATCATGATCACGGCTTGTACGAGCAGCGAGAGCGAGTAGTAGTGACCAAACCAGTAAAACACCCTAAAGACAGGAATGTTAACGTCATTGTGCATTGAGCTGAGCAGCAGCGGTTAACATAAGGCGCCTTTCTTACTTGAGGATGGATGCGACGAGCATGATCAAAGGGATATCGAGGGAGAATCCCCCCGAATTCCTTGATCGATGTATACTGAGAATCTGATCCGTATAGGACGTGAGGGGGGAGGTAATAAGACTATTTCACGCGAAATGTCCTCAGTCAGCATTCCAATGCCACTTGAAGACCCGAGTTGCCAGCTCCCCGAAGTGTCTGAGTTACGATAAATGGGAACTTACAACATGGGGGCCCCATATTCAAGAGCCAGCGATATGAGATACATGGTGCATCCAAAAGCGAAAAAGAGTATCCGATGCCCGGAAGATGCTTGTAGCTGTTGATGGAGTTGCTTGCTGGGTGCTCTTCGCAGTAAAGCGGGACCTCGCGGATTCTAGGGAATGATGATGATTGAACGTTGATTAGGGGTTGGCCAAAAGCAAAGGGGACCGATGAGAGGATATAACAGGATCCGATGAACTCAAGAGCTCTCCATGGAACGAGAATGTTGACTATACCGAGCAGGTTGAATCCAAGAACCAAGACGCTTGTCGGCGTGTCGCGATGCACAAAATAGTAAAATGGGGACAAAGCCAAGCACTGTTGCAGAGATCAATCACGATTAATTTCCTTGGAAAAACATGTGCCAGGGCCGAAAGCGTCTTCTTGTCTTGTTTAGGATTTCCCGGCAGATCTGCTTAGTTCAGCGACCCCATGGCGCTTACCTATTCTGGTTTAGGTCCTTCTATCGACTCCTTGTTGCCTGGAGGTTCAGGCAACACATCCTACGCTACAGTTATATTATGTGATGAGACTTGAGCTTCGAGGTTATCAGTATTATTATTCCCTGTCTGCCTTGCACTAGCACGTTGGAAGGCAGGTAAACAGAGTATCATTCACTTTGCATAGTGTATGTTTGTCATTCCAATCATGTGTATATACTCCGGTTTGACACAGATTCTAGAATTCAATCTTCCATGTCTTTCCAATTCCAACATCGGGTTTCTTCACCACAGCATATGGGGCCTTGCCCGTCTGCTGGGCGTGATACTCCAAGGGCACGGTAGAAGCCATCTTTGCACCGTCTTCGATGACGGTCACGGACGCCCTTCCTTGCCATTCCTTGGGAGCGTCGACAACGACCACCTTTTCAACCCGAACATTCGCCATGCTCTTCAGATAATCGGCTGTCTTCGAACCCTTGGTTCCGATGTCTTCCGATGAGAGGGTAGATTTTTCAAATCTGAAGCGGCGGTGTATGCATCCACCCTGCTCATAGTTGAACGTCTCCCCGTCATCAACATAGAGTGTGCCTTCAGCCTCTCCGTGCTTGTCGAGGACGATCACAAGTGTATATGGATCCCACTTCATCAATCCGCTGCTGCGACGCGCGCGGTCCTTGCGAGGGATGATATGACCGCCCTGCATCAACAACGGGACCTTCTCAATGGGGGCAGGCACCGTATGGCTCTTGCCCGCTCCTTGGTAGACGGTATAATCGTAATAATCGTAGTACTTCTCATCATCAGCGATGTAGATCTCTGCGGTGGTGGCACCTTCTGCAACAACAGGTTTGGTCAGTAGGCCAGTAGATCCAAGGTAGAGTTGGTCATCAATGGCAAAGCCTTGTTCGTCCGCCGGGTGGACATAATACTGGGGCCGGACAATGGGCATTCCATTCACCGAAGCTTCATGGAATGCAGTGTACCATGCAGGCAACAGTTGATATCTCAGACGGATAGCCTGCGATATAATCGACCTGAATGGCTCAGCGATCAAGTAGGGCTCTCGTCTGCGAGTGTCGATGTGCGCATGGGCACGGAAGAAGGGATACCAAATGCCGGTCTGATACCACCGGGTCAAAAGTTCTTTGCTTGGGTTCTGGAAAAATCCGCCAACGTCGGCCCCAGCAAACGGGAACCCAGCAATTCCGTTGTTCAATACCATAGGTAAGGATGCGGCCAGGTGTTCCCAGGTGGCTTGATTGTCTCCCGTCCACATGGCAGATACCCGTTGAGCACCAGCGTAGAATGATCGTGTCAAAACGAAGGGCCTACGGACCACGCCTTTCTTTCGCTCCAACAAGGCATTGTATGTAGCGTTGACAAAGGTCAGTCCGTTGACATTGTGTACGTCGCGGTGTTCCCAGTTGCCATAGTGTATATTGTCCTTGGGCATAGTGGTTTCCGGCCCATTGAAGACGGAGGGCTCATTCATGTCATTCCAAATAAAGACGTTCGGCTGGGTGCCCTTGAATTTGTCGTATTTGAACAAGCCAATCCACCATTTGATTGCTTCGGGGTTGAAGCAGTCCACCCAGTGAGATGAGCCAGGCCAACACCAGCCGTCGTAGATCTCCCCGTTCTTATTTTTGGTAGCTAGATCCTTGCTCTTCAGCTCTTCATTGATGGAGTATCCCTCCTTATTTTTAATGTGCGGGTCAATGATCACCACGAGTTTGCGCTCAGAGTCATCAAGCTGCTCTTCCATACCCTTTGGGTCAGGGAAGCTCAGAGGGTCCCAGGTAAAGTACTTTCTGTCATCCGTGTACTCGATGTCTAGCCAAATCACGTCGTAAGGAATCTGATACTTGTCAAACTTGCGATCAACTTCCTTGACATCCTCGTCCGTGACATAGTTCCAACGACACTGGTGGTAAGCGATGGCGAACTGTTGAGGTAATTGAGTGTAGCCGGTAAGTTCACCGTAAGTTTTGCTGATCTCTTGCGGAGTGGGACCCAAGAAGACGAACAAATCGATACGTCCCGATTCGGAGAACCAGTGAGTTTGAGTGTCTGTCTTTGAACCTACTCCAAGAGAAAGAGGGTTGGGCGAGGACTTTGACTTGACAATGTCGACCCAGGTCTCCGCAGCGTTGAGCCAGAAGACACCCACGGTAGAGTTCTTCCTGTGGGCCTGCATGAACGGGATGGCGCCATAGAGGGTCATGGGGCTGTTGAGCTCATATTCAAAGACGTCCGCATTGTACATGCGATAAGGCTCCTCATGATTTCCATCACCGCCCCTTCAATTTGATCAGCTTTGCGTCACTAGAGCGGCGGGGGCATGTACCACCTACCTAGTTTCCTTCAGAGACATAGAGTCTGCATGCTCTGGAATTCCAAAAACATGACTGTAGCCAGGAAATGTGATGTCCAGGCCAATACTCTCTGGACCTCTCGGCTTGGAGTCGGTGTTTCCACCAAAAGTTTCCTCCCACCAGGTGCTTTCATCCTGCTGAGATTCTGATTTTTCCTGGACACTGTCACCCTCTGCCACGTCCACTTTTGGCCGCCAGTGTTCCACGTTGAGGTAGCCCTTGTGATTCACTTGGACATGGCTCTGGCCATCGCGTTGAAAATCGACGCTGAACGGCGCATGGCGAATGACCGCCTGAAATTTGTTATCCGGCCCGTACATTACCTTTGTGAATCCAGTCTCGGATTCTGAGTCCACAGAGGCACTTTTACTCGATTCCAAGCCACCCACCAGCGCCCATTGCTCTGCTTCATTGTATCGTTCCTTACGCACTTGGCTGTTATGTCGCAGGTCAATTTCGCCCTTCATCCGTTTGTCTTCGTCGACCACGATGCGCGTAGCTCCAGACTCTAGGAAAGAGATCACAAGTGGCAGCCTGACCTTCTCATTGGCAGATACCGACTTGAGAATTGTCCCTTGCAATTGGCCATCTTTGAAGTGAATTGAAGAGGGATCGAGTTCATATGGTGAATTCCAAGACGCGCCTTTGGCGGAGACGTCATCTGCGAATGCTCGGTTCCGCTTACAAAACCCAGATTGAGAGCATTTCTTGAAGTTCTCATGCTTCACAGTAACTGGAGGAATTGGTCAGATGGCGATAGCATTGGAATACCTTGAGTGCATAGAGCTCACCTCCGGGTACAACAAGGCACCCGAGAAGTACAACCAACCCGAGCAATAGCGTCCATCTGGAGAGGGACGAGCTGTTCGGGGCCATGTTTGAGAGAATCGATGCAATCAGAGCCACTCAACATCTGAAAGTACCGTAATTACAAGACTTTCTGTGCTGACCTGCATCTACCAGAGCTGGAGGCCAAACACAAACAATCATGAACAGATAACACAGGTGATGATTCCAGGCTGGCCAGATTGGCAGATCGGAGGGAATTCGGGGTAAGCTAACGTCCAACTTGGGTTAGTGTGGCGCTAGTGCGAATGGAACCTAGCACCTAGGTAACCTAAGGTATCCATCTTATAATTAGTACTCAACCCTGAGGCATCCAGGCATCCAGGCTGCCCCTCCTGCCCCACTCGGTCTTGCAGTCCCCTCCTTATAATAATTTCGCCAGCTCACCGAAAGTCTACCTCTTCTTCTTTTTCTCCGAGCTGTCAACCGTACCTCAATCGTTCTTCAGTATCTCCATCATCTCTTATCAATCTCTCAAAATGTCCAACGAGCAGACGTAAGTTGACATTCCATCCCACTTCCAAGCTCAATCCCAGTTTTCCCCTTATTCTTCTCCGACGCTGCTTTGGGGTTGTCCTCTCACCAGTACGAATAAAGCTAATCAATTCCTGCAGCTTCATTGCCATCAAGCCCGATGGTGTCCAGGTATGAGGCTATGACCGCTCCTGCTGATGTTCAATGGTCGACACACTTCAAATGAGCATGGGACTGACTTGATCATCCTTTAGCGCGGACTCGTCGGCCCCATCATCTCTCGCTTCGAGAACCGTGGGTATGTATTTCTGGCGCTCAATGGCTTATTAGTCGCGCTAATTATGCACAGCTTCAAGCTCGTTGCCATGAAGCTGGTCTCTCCTCCCCAGTCCCAGCTTGAGCAGCACTACGCCGACCTCTCCGACAAGCCCTTCTTCAAGGGTCTTGTCTCCTGTGAGTTTCCCTTCCACATCGAAAATTGATGGCTTCCTTTTTCATGATGGTGACTAACCACTACATTTAGACATGCTCAGCGGCCCCATCTGCGCCATGGTCTGGGAGGGCCGTGATGCCGTCAAGACCGGCCGTAGTAAGTTTCCGTCAATCGATGTGTTTCAGACATGAAACGAGCATATGCTAATGGTGCGATAATAGCCATCCTCGGTGCCACCAACCCTCTTGCCTCCGCTCCCGGCACCATCCGTGGTGACTACGCTATCGTAAGCTCTATTCGGACCCCAATATCATGGTTTCTCTCTGACATTGCATTAGGACGTCGGCCGCAACGTCTGCCACGGTTCCGACAGCGTCGAGAACGCCAAGAAGGAGATTGCCCTCTGGTTCAAGCCTGAGGAGCTCATCTCCTGGAAGAGCGCCGCCTTCGACTGGATCTACGAGAAGGCTTAAATTTATCCGTTCGACATTTTATTTGGATGTCTGCAATCCGTTACAGCTGAGGGTGTAGGAGGCAGTGTATGACATACATCACAAAAGTCCCACGAGAAATAAAATATACAGGACAACTACGGTGCCAATGGCCACATTCCCTTCTCGTATCCCTCGCCGGAATCTGGGAGTAGGGCGGATAATTCTCCGCTGCGGAAATTTGCATAGAAGGTTCCATCACAAGCTACTTTTTCCCAAGAAGAGCCCCGACGCCCCTGCCTACCGGAGCGAGAACAGATCTCGCAAACCATGGCGTTGCCCATACACTAGCGACTATCCGTACGGGCAGTAGAGCTTTCGTGATTGCATAGGCAGTCGCGAACTCAAGCACAAGACGAACGCCTTTTCTGTCTTCCGGTCTCAATTGAGATTGACTGGGCGATTCAGTAGTAGAGTCCTCGCCGGAAGTAGACCCATCGGCCTTCACAATATCCACGTCAGCATCCTCCACCCAACCTTTCTTTCGCAGCCAGCGACCGAATCGCTGAACTCCTTCGTCAAAGCCGCTTTTTGAGGTGAAATCCGGCAACCAATCGCCGTAATGGAACGAAGCGACCAGCCCGAGCAAAGGAACAATGGCTGTAATCTCGTGTAGTATCAAAAAAGACGCGATATGTGTGCCAGGGGCCCCCAGTAACGGCTTTGTATAGGAGCGTAAAAACGGCGGAAGGCGATCATTCAGCTTGCGGAGACGAGAGCGGTAGTCATTCGGACCTGCTGAGGGCGGTGTCGCCAGGCCACGCCGCATGCAAGTATGGGAGCGCAACGATGGACGAAAAAGACGCGAAGTTGAAGTCGCTGATGAACGCCATGAAGCCATCTCATCCAAGCTGTCGATGCCTAGCTAGACACGACTTGAAGTTGATACTGCGAGTTCAAACTGAAGTAGACAAGGATTAATGCTGGCTCTTGGGCAGACTTTCAGTTCTAACTTCAGAAATTATGGTAGCGAGAGATCAATGCCATTTCTGACTCCAGTAGAGACTTCAAGGCCGGTCTTTAATTGATGACTCCTCATCATCTCCAACAGACTCGTACTGCGACATCGACGGAGCTTGGTGAGGTTTGCCTTGTTTGCACTCTGCACAGCCGTATACAATGTCAGTAGATGTATCTATCTGCTGCGTATCTATCGGAAACGAAACATTGAAGAATAATGATAGGTAATCAACAATCTGATGAACCCAAAAGTAGCACGTGCAATGGTCTATCTCGATAGAATGAGCTATAAAAGATGGATGGAACATCTCGTTATGGTGGCCATGGTCGGCAATCGTGCATGGTTCCGTATCCGTTGATCGGAGGGGCCAAGTCCTTCCCTCCCACATGCGCTGGCTCAGGTCCTCCTCCATCAACTTCAATTATTCCCGCTATTTTCCTCACCACAGAGGAGAAATTCGGGTCAAGATGGAAAAGATCACAGACAAGATCGCGGCATTGCCGCCAAACGAGAATTACTTTTCTCTCGAGTTCTTCCCTCCCAAGACGCAGATGGTGGGGTATCCCCCGCACTCTTTTGACTTTTCTGGCCATGCAACCAGTAACTGATGGTGTTTCGAATATTGTAGGGCTTCTCCAATCTACAGGCCCGTTTAGAGCGTATGTCACAAGCGCTGCGTCCCTTGTTCGTTACCGTCACTTGGGGAGCCGGTGGAAGTACTGCCGCCAGGTCGTTGGAGCTCGCAGAGATCTGCCAGCGTCAATTGCAATTAACAACATGCCTTCATCTAACATGCACGAATATGAGCCGAGCATTGATCGATGAGGCCTTGGAAGAGGCCAAGGTTCTCGGAATTCGAAACATCCTGGCGCTTCGCGGCGACCCGCCACGCAGTGAAGAGTACAACATGCACGGAGAAGATGACAGCAACAAGGACTTCACGTTCGCGGTGGACTTGGTACGATACATTCGCAAGAAGTACGGTGATTACTTCTGCCTCGGCGTTGCTGCGTATCCTGAAGGGCACCCGGTCGATTCTTATCAGGACGTACAGGATCCAGTGAGGGATCTGCCATATCTGGTCGAGAAGACCCTGGCCGGTGCGGACTTCATCATGACTCAGTTGACATACGACATTGATGCCTACACAAAGTTTGAGAAAATGCTCCGAAACCACGAGTCCGGTGCCTTCAAAACCATCCCGATCATTCCTGGGTTGATGCCTATTCACAGCTACAAGATTCTCACCAGAACAACGAAACTGAGTCATGTCCAGATTCCACCACAGATCATGTCGAAACTAGAAGCAGTGAAACATGATGACGATGCTGTGAAGCGCATCGGTGTAGATGTTCTAAGTGATTTAGTGGAGGCTATCAGGAAGATACCCTGCCCTGGGTTTAGGGGCTTCCATTTTTACACATTGAACCTTGAGAAGACAGTCTCTTTCATCATTGAACGATGTGGTTTGATACCTGATGATCCAGAAGACTTTGATGCTGTTGTGGACGATGATTACACCACCGCACCCACTGGAGCTCAGAGTCGATCCCTATTCCGGCGCAGGGCTTCGTCCGTCAACTCACTGCCACATAACCGTGTCATTGTGGACAGGTTACAGGTGCCCTCAGACGGGTCATCGAGAGCATCGACTACACATGAGGCACCCGCCACTAGCGCTGGAATGCCTGCGATGCCCCCAGATCGCAACACAACGCTCCAGATTTCGGAGGGTCAGGGAGCGCTCGGCAGAGAAGCGACGTGGGACGATTTCCCTAACGGCCGTTGGGGTGACGCTCGCTCGCCGGCTTTCGGAGAGATTGATGGGTACGGTCCTTCACTACACGTTTCGGGCACTGTCGCGCGGCGCATCTGGGGCTATCCTGTGTCCCGCGAAGACATAAGTGCACTATTCCGTCGCCATGTGTCTGGCGATCTCTATATCGTTCCCTGGTCCGAAGGCGGAGCGGAAGAGAATGGCAGTGGCTTGAATGCTGAGACAGAAGTCATTCGACCCGAATTACTGAAGCTCATTGACGGCAAAGGCTGGTGGACTCTGGCGTCCCAGCCGGCTGTCAATGGTGTCCGAAGCGACGATCCAACATTTGGGTGGGGACCTCCGGGCGAGGGATTCGTCTTTCAGAAGCCATTCGTTGAATTCTTCTGTCCAAGCAAAGACTTCCAGACAGTGCTCAAACCACTCTTTGCAAAGCACGGCCATGAGAAGCTCGCATGGTTTGCAACCAACACGAAGGGCGAATTCGAGTCCTCCCTTCCCGCCGATCCTGCCGATGCCGATACCATCGAGATGAATCCCAACAACGTCAACGCTGTGACATGGGGTGTCTTCCGTGGCAAGGAGATAGTCACTCCGACCATCATTGAAGAAGTAAGCTTTAGAGCCTGGGGCGAAGAGGCATACCGTATCTGGGATGAGTGGCGCCGGGTCTATCCCCGTGGCACCCCGACCGAGCGCCTCCTTGACGAAATCAAGAACGACGTTTGGCTGGTGTGTGTCGTGGGGCAGGACTTTGGAGCCGGCACGGAAGGCGGGTCGGAAGAAGAACAGCAGGAGACCAAGTGGATGTGGAATGTCTTGATCAACAGCCAGTGAGGTGTACAAGTACCTAAGTTACACGATGAGTGTACTGAATGTCGGAACTTGTCTGCTCCACCATGACAAGGGAATTGGGGCTGGCTCTCGCCATGTTCATATCATGTTCTGCTTGTCCACTACCCGAATCAGAAAATGTAGTTCTTTTGTACTTATTTTTGAGATGGACATTGAATGGTATAGAAGGAATAAAGTAAAACTGGATCTAATGACATAAGTTTATTGTTAAGGTTATCTAGAGTTTCTCTCGAATCATGTACGGGAATAGAGACAAGGAGAATCCAAGTCAAACGAATGTGAGGGCGATTGAAGGACGTTACGACCAGCTTTCACCACCGCTCTGGAATGACAGATGCCTCGATTCTGAAGATAGAACAAGACCAACGCCACGGCGCCAGAAGCCTGTATCACGTTACTTTTTGGACCACTGCCTTTTGACAGGGCATTATATCGTGACTGCTCGGACTCGCATCCCGCTCGTCATTCCTTAAAAGAAACCACACCATATCTGGATATTTTAGGTGGTTTTCTGCGCAAAGCCGTGTGCCTCTAGTCCATCAGCGCCCGTATCTGGCGTGGCAATCGACGATTCCGACTCTGCGAATTTCTCCGCCGCGTCGTCGAGACGACCATACACGCGAGGGAAGCGTCGGGTTTGGTGAGGTCCAGCAGCGGGGAGTTGGTGGCCACGGAGTCTGTATGTGCGGAAGGGTTAGTTGATCAGGATTAGAAGATGGCTGGTCTTATGCAGATCCAAGAGTTATATTATACGCACCTGGGGCCCTGGCCGGTTTTCTCGGGTAAATCTGGGGCGTAAACTCTATGAAACATGTCGGCGTCTGTGTCGAAGGTTCCTCGCTCGATGCTTGCTCTAATAGCGGAGAAGAACTTGTCGATGGTGTGGTGGTTATGGATCTGGAGTAATGTCCATGCGAGCATTTCCTTTGTGGATAGTAGGTGGTGGATGTATGCGCGGTGGTGGTTTTTGCAGGTGTAGCACTCGCAGGAACCGCTCAAAGATGCTGTGTCCACTTTGAACGACGAGGACCATAGGTCAAATGCGAGAGGTCGAGATTCGCTTGCAGCCGTCTCGGCTGTGGACGGGGCTGGGAAGGTGAAATCCAAGGCTATTCCCGCGTCCGAGGTAGCCCCCAGGAAAGGAATGGTGAAGATATCGGCGCCGAGAGATACCTGACGTAGGATGTCGTGTGGTGTAGCTGGATCACTGAAGAGTAGTCGGGGCAGGTTGCCTAATTTCTCCGGGAGAATCGATAGCGATGCCGACTCGTGTAATGCGAGACCGGAGATGTGAGGGCGTAGATCATGCTCAAGATCGGCCAGGTAGAGCGATTGCTGCGTATTCTCAAGAGGCAGCACCGGCGCAAAGTATGCTGATTTTGATCGACTTCCCTCTGGTACTGTTTGACCATAGAGCTGCTCCGTTGCATGCGAAGTGAATGCATGGGTTCTGTCAGCCATCTTTACCCTCCTCTTGGAGCCGGGAGTTTGTCCCTGGGCCAAGTCTGCTAATCCCACCACGATGTCCGGCCGTAGCTTCCGTACTGCTTCCACATATTCACCAGCCTCTAGCTGCCTGAACCCGACCGACGTCAATACGGATATCGAATTAGGCGTGTTGTTCGGGGGGCAGACGATCGAAGGCACCCGTCGCGGACCGAGAATGAGCAGGAACTCCTCAGGAACACTGATGAATTTGCGCAAGGCCGATTCATGCGGCGCAGTTGGTACATTGTATATCGGCGGACTTCCCTTCCGGAGGGGTCCTGTATTTGCTTGCTTTTCTATGACTGATCTGAGCCCCGGTGGGCATCGAACATCGTCAGCGTCTATTTCCTTGCTTGATTGTCAAATGCACGTCAACGCAGACATGAACCTACAATCCTCGAGACCAATAAACAGGCTGCCGATCGCCGTCTGGTCGCGCATCACATCGTGCGCAATATGAGGTACAGCCCCTCGCGACGTTAGTGGAATGTAATTGGGCGTCGGAATGGCTGTTCTGCCCGCAACAGCCAAATTTCCCAGCCGCGGGGCTAGGATCGGGGCAGCTGCAGGACTGAGAAGAGTGAAATTGACCATCTCATCTGGAGACTGCGATGATGCTTCAGGTAAGGTCATGACGATCGACAAGAGCGAGCCCGTGCCAACGTCTTTCGTTTGCGACTGGTGATCGTGTGAGGTAGGAAAGAAAACTGGAGCTAAACAATCGTCGATACTAGTAATGTAGAGTAGATGCTCGCAATCGATAAATCCGCTAGACACCGTTTGCTTTGTTCTCCACCGCATTTTGTGCCACACGCATCAGCCCAACCCTCCATTGTTCTCAATCACAACCAGACATTATTGAATTGACGCTTCATTTGGTATTACAAGAAACAATTCGGACAAGATGAATAGTCAGCGGAAACGTGGCGCTCTCATTGTTGTCGAAGGTCTGGATCGAGCGGGCAAATCCAGCCAATGTGAACGTCTACGTGACTCGCTACAAGCATCAGGGCACTCGGTGAAGTATATTCGGTTTCCAGGTATCTATTGCTCCTCAATTGAGTAGCGAGTCTCCCTTTTCTGACCCTGCTTTAGATCGAACAACTCCCATTGGAAAGTTGATAAATAGCTATTTACAAGGCCAGTCCCAATCGGATGACCATTCGATTCATCTCCTCTTCTCAGCAAACCGCTGGGAGCTTGCAAAGAGCATTGAAGATGATATAGCCAACGGCATCAGTGTCATAGTAGACCGCTATTCCTACTCTGGTGCTGTTTACTCAGCTGCAAAAGGCAATCGCAATCTGTCGCTAGAGTGGGCATGGCAGCCAGAGATCGGATTGCCGCAGCCGGATATGTGCCTTTTCCTCCGCATATCACCCGAAGAAGCAGCGAAGCGTGGCGGATTCGGCGTCGAGCGCTATGAGAATGAAACTATGCAAACTCGCGTGCGCGAGCTATTCCAAACGCTGTTTGACCTCCAGCAGGGTGATTACATTCACACAATTGATGCTGGAAGGTCGTTCGATGCAGTGTCGCGGGATATTATAAATATAGTGACGGACTCTATCCAGAGACTTGATGTCATAGGGCCTTTGAAGAGGCTGGGACCGCTCGCTAACTGAGGCATTGCCTCATGTGTCCCAGCAGAACTTGAAATAGGAAGTACTCGTTCACAAAATTTCTGCGTCGTCGCACTCGCTGTCCTCGATAACAGTTTCCAGTTTCGGGGCAACTTTCGAAAGGGTCTTCAACCGAAGATCCGTGTCGGAGTCTGACTCTGATGCCAAACCGTCCCACCAGTCTTCATCCAGAAGAGCTTCATCTTCGGCATCCTGACCGAAACCATTATCTACATCGACTGATGCGGATCTTAGCCTGGACGATTCAACCCTACCAGTCACGTCACTGCGTTTCCGATCAGCTCTTCTCTTCCGTCTCAAAAGTTCCAGCAGCTCTTGTTTCGCGCGACTCCGAAAGCTCAACTCCTTCATCATCAATGGCCATTCGACAGTGGCCTCACATGCAGGACAAATCCCGTGTCTTGGAATGAATTGATTTGGCTCTTGAGACGCATCAATGAATTTTCTCGATAGGCATAGTAGATGGCAGGTGCAGTGGCATTCCGCCTGTGGGCAGACTGTTGTCAACTCTTCCTTTGGAACGATTTGCCCCTGGCATACTTGACAGCGCACATCTTTTGGGTCGTCGAGAAGGAATATGGCTTTCTCTATATAGTCTCGGATTGTAGCATAGGTGATCTTGGCATTTTCGACGCCACCAAACCTGGTGTCATTCCCACCGTCGTGTGCGCCGATCTCAGGACAACTCCCGTCCAAGATGACCTTGACAGGGCTCCGAAGACGAATATCAACTCGATCATACCAAACTTTCCAAGATTGATAAATTTCGCCCGAGAAAAACCGTATTTGTAAAGGCCAGTGAGAGAAGTATGTCGACTTCAGCAGGCGATGTAAATCGGAGAAGTGGGTGTCCAAGGCCCTCGGGGGACGACGACGGCTTTTTCTTTTCTTAGGTGTCCCCTTGTCTTTGGACTTAACTGAGTCGCATTTAGAATCGAATGACTCCGGATCCTGGGATTTCGCTTTCCTCTTTCTCCTGGGCTTGACCTCCGCAGAAGCCGAACTTTCTTCCTCTGATCGTAAGTGACGCGAGTACCAAGGATTTTGCCAAGCCCATCTTTGGAAGCGTTAGATTCTGCACGCGGATAAATGGGGAGAGACGTACTCAAACTGCAGAGCTGCGAGCCGGCTCGTAAAGCCTTCGACCACCAGAACCATCTCCCACGGCCTCAGCTTCTCGGCCGCAGTCCGACGAGCGCCTCCCTTGACAACGCCATTGTGCTGTATGAGTCGTCTTGCAGGATTAGGCGTGGATCCAATATAGAGAGAGGCATGTCGCACAGTCGAGCGGAGTAGGTAGCAGCAATAGAAAACTGGGATGGGCCTTGAATGCTCTATCTGGATGTCATCCATGGCACTGTTGTCAGTAGATGTCCGAGGCGACGTCAGATAAACGGGTAATTTGGCCCTGGATACTCCGTATTTCAAAGCCTTTCAAACTGAGGCTTCGGGTCGACATTCCTCTTTATTTAGTACAAACAACAACAACGACTGATAGCGATAAAAACGCCAGTCTTGTTGATATCAGGGTTTTGTTCTTCTATTCTACTATTGTTGTTGACGGTCCAACATCAACAAAGCAAATCACATGAGTGCAGCTAAGCATTACCTCTTCTGCCTAAGGCATCACATCACTCAAACATCAAACTACTAAATATTACTATTACGCACCAACAGCTGGAAATGATAAGAAAGAGAATCTGCAATGTCAACCTCAGGTAATTACTATACACGTGTAAGGTACTACGTTATGGCTCTATAATATTACGGAAAGTTGTCTGCAGATTCATCCAAGCACTGGGTTACCAGAGATAAGATGGAAATGAGATGATGTGAGAACAAAGGGAGTGAGCCGGTCAAGATGACGATAAAAAAATGTTCTCCACAGAAGCAAGAGATTGCAGCCCCGGGCAAAGTCTATGATATTGTCATGAAGTCTTTTTTGCAGAAGAATAATGATGATTGTGGTCGCATGCGGTCCGTGGTTGGCATGTCATGGAGCTTTAGCGCTAGTTGAATATCTAAGTAACGCAGGGGGAATACCTTTTGTAAGAATACAGCCACGAAACAATGGACCTCAGGCTGCTCAGGTCACCAAGGCCTCGAGTTTTGAATGGAGTAGAATACAGCCTCGTGCTCCACCAGAGGTCGCAATAAGTGATCGAAGTCCGCATAGCTGACAAGTTAGGAAACAGGGACGATCGATCTCTTATTTGCAAGGCCGACAGTGGCCAACCCACGAACCTCGACAGAGGTATGTATGGAAGTTACATTACCTTACCTTACCAGCCAACATGGTAAATTAGGCACTGCTGGTACGGGGTATGTACCTTAGGTGCATACCTTAGGTAAGGTATGTAAGGTATGTTCTGTAGGTACCAAGTGTCCTCCATTGACTTGGGCCGATGTGGGCAGGTGTGCATGTGGCTAATATAGACTACGAAATTAACCGCAGAAAGTGGCTTAATGTACAGAGTATTCTTCATGCGAAGAGCACCTGATGACCTGATAGTTAACTAACTCTCTAGTTCCATTAGTCAACGTATGAGGTCTTGCCAGCCATTTATTTAAGTTGGTACCTACCTCAGAACCTGAGCCGAGTACCTATCCGTTCTAGGTTACCTTACCATCCGTTTGCGGCATATTTTAGGTATAATACAGTAATGTAATGTCAGTATTCCAGTTGTTTCCCTCTTGTAATTATTACTCATCCCCTTACCCTTTTGGTTTCGTATCCTTGGAAGGGTTCGCTACCAGCCTTACTATCAGGTCTCACTCAGGCCATGAGGCTGCGCAAAGCCATGATCTCCCTTTCCGCTTCGGGGCGTCGTCCATCTCAATCTCCAGTATTTTTTCTGCTTTGTCCTCGTAGTATACGTCCCTTGTCTCATTACTATCATTTTTTGTTTTTCCCTTTGAGCATCCGGAATTTGTACTTCATTTTTTCCCTTCTCCTTAGTCATCCTACTCCCTCCTACGAGTTGTAGTAAAAGAGTATACCTCGTAGTAGCAGGAGGAGGGTCGATATAGATATATACTCTACCTACATCCTGACCAGCTCACTACTATCTATCGCTTACTAGATAGTAGTGAGATGTGTTTTAACGGCGCTCTACCCTTCGTCATCTCTAACTAAACTTCACCTTATTACTGATTGATTGATTGATTGATTGATTGATTGATTGGGCTCGAGACTAGACTGCTTCCAACCACTGTACTCCGCCGTCCTGACCTGCTTGCTCCCTCTTTCCGAGATTCTCCACACTAAGCCCTCCCGGGACCATCTCGGCCTCGCCTTTACTTCTCTTCTCACTTTCTCTCTTCCTTCGCTCGCTCTACTAGTGTCGAGTACTATTATTTCTCCGTCTCGACCATCACCTTTGTCTCCTATTTGCTGCCCTTCTTTTTATTCAGAGGACAAACAACTATTATACAATAACCACGGGGACAATTATCGTTTGTGTTCGACTCTTCCTTTCATCTGATTTAGTCCTCAATGCGCTTTTCGCATCGGACTCCCTCTCCCTTTCGTCCGCGATAAATCACGCGCAAGATTGCTTTTTGTCCCCCGGCTAGCTGTTGTTACCTAGAGATGGTGGCTCCGGCCTCTACGGGCGCGATTTCGACAGGCGTACAGCCTCCAGCGAACCGTCAGCCTACTCGATCCTCTAGCACCCACCCGTCGCATTCTCACAATGTACCGTTGAGCGCTCGAAGGTCGGCACCCCTCGACTTATCTACGGTCGAGCGACGAGGACAACCCAATGCTCCTCGAGAGCCCAGCAAACGAATTCGCCCCCATGGCTTGCAGGAAGCTCCGACGTTCCGTCCGACGGAGGAAGAATTCAAGGATCCCTTGGAATACATCCGCAAGATAGCGCCCGAGGGCAAGAAATATGGAATCTGCAGAATCATTCCACCAGAGAATTGGCAGCCGCCGTTTGCGATTGACACAGAGGTATGCGAGTTGTCTTCTCATCCCTGTGCTCG